GCTGATTGACCCAGTTTGACTCAGACGTGCCCTTATGAACTGAATGCTGGCCCATGAGGGTGTCAGCTGGACATCCAGCTGGATTCAGAGGGATTCTGTTTACCTGTGTGCTTGTGTCTGACTGCAGTTTATTGTTGCTCTTATGAACTGATTCTTGGCATATGAGGGTGTCAGCCTGTCCATGCTGATCAGCCCGGCCAGGTCAGGCGTGTCACATTAATTTGTGTGTGTTTGTGTGTATGACTGATTTGGTGACTGGAGGAACCCAGTCCCATTGAAACTGAGTCCTGCAAGATAGCTCCATTGGGGGTGAGGACTTGCAGAAGGGAGAGATACAGCTCCGTATAGTAACACAAGCAGCACATTGACAGAATCACCAAGACCCTAGAAACTATCCCTAATAAATGAGCACACCCCAAAGTAATGGGCAAATTTGGTAACAGCTGGATCTAATGGTTCCATGGATCTGGCCCACAGGCCATAGGTTGCCAACTCCTGCCTAATTGTGTATCCTTACGGAGCCAAAAATGCAGGGTTCATTGGGCCAGGAATAGGAAGCTCAGGAGGATTTCTCTCTGTAGTTGTTTTAGTTATCAGGTAGCTGTAGAGTTTGTGGTTTTGATCTCTTTGCTCTGTGGTTGTTTCTAGGTTTATTTTTATTCAAGATAAGGATTCTTTATTGTAAAACTTTTGTTTGTTAACCACCTAAGCCTGGTGGTTAATACACTTCTACTGGAGATAGTGTATATTCCCATCTGACAACAGATCATTGCATCTATATTTCCCTCAGCCTTAGTGACTTGCTTGAGAGCATTCAAACCTACATCCTCATCCTCAAAGAATAATGCTTTAGCCATTGGGTATAGGATAAGCTAATTGTCTGCTATGGGGAGGAATGTGCTCTTATTGATGCTGTGCTAGTGTACACTCTTCCTGAAAGGTTGGAGTTCTCCTCGGTATGAGGAAATCGTGAAACCAAGGCCTCCCATTTTTTTTCCAAAGCCTCTGAAGTAATTCAAGCTCATGTACTGTATGGAAAGGTCCCAGACAGATTCAAATACAACTTTAGACTTATTTTCTGGATTTGTTAATGGTTTGTTTCTTTTCTTATAATCAAACATTTTTCTTTTGATTTTTCTTGTGGGAAATTAGCTTCAATTTCCAGCTCATCAGGCAGTTTCACAGCATCAGTAAAGACACTTGCAAATCTCTTATCAGGACAATAGTTTGCAAAGAAACCTTTGAAGCTTTTAGGTGATGCATAGTATAGCTGGTACCCAATTTAGCTTCATGACGTATGTTCTTTGCCATGGTGACTTCATAAAGTCATTCTGGGCTAAAATTCCATGCAGCACAAGAAGTTGTAGTTGTAGATTTTGAGCCAGAGATTTCATGTTGCATTGAGTTTTGATTTCTGTGTGTTCCTTTAGGATTTAAAATACGTAATTGGGAGTAAAAATTAAATTTTCATTGACTGTTGAAACTTGGTGCAAAAATACTCAGATCATATCAATTCAGTGTTCCCATCTTGTTTCAAAGAAGGGTTTTGGAAATGGGTTGGTCACACGTTAAGGCATTTGACCCACTGTTGTAGTGAGGCTGCAAATAAGTGATACTTTGAATCACTTAAAAAATTCAACAGTTCCAATGCATCAATTTGTGCCATTATTTTAAAAAAGACTGCAAAACATTTTCTTAAGGTCCCTGATTCTCTCCTGTGCACTGGTTTGTTTGTCTTTCATATCTGTCGCATTGACATAGCTTTGCCCTCTCAAGCCACTGAGTGAAATTCTTATTTCTTTTAATTGTTCAAAGGGAGCCTCTGTCATTGCAGTCCCCGTGGAATCTGTCACATTCAGAAATCCAGCTCAATGTTCTTTGATCATGACACTGACTTTTCTTGCCTCAGTTGCCTCTTCTGCAGAAACAACTCTAATTATCAACAGTATCTGCTCTTGATTGTTAATATCTTGGGTGCCGTCCAACATAATAGAATAATACATGCCTACTTTCCAGGCAGAAGTAATTTCCTTTTTAACCATGTTCCTCAGAATGTGATTGAATTTATTTTGAATATTTTTGCCCAAATGATGATCATGAATTTCCTTCAAGGCAATTCACTGGGAATGTTCTTTCATCACAAGATAATATTTCCCAAGCTACTGCACAGATTTCAAAAGTTGGCTATAGTAGAATGAATAGAATTTTCCACTGAACTTAGAGTTCCATGCAGCCTGATGCCTCCACAAAAAACCCTTTTCAAAATAACTAGGTAATGAACTATCAGATAATTTATCAATTGCATGATTTTACTTCAGTCTAATTTCTAAGTCTCCTCACATATAATGGCTGTTCATATGTGCTACTTATTTCTTGTGTCTCATTCTAAGAGGCCAAGTATTTTAACAATCTGAAATATAATTCTAGGCTAAAGCAAAATCTCCAGATAAACAACTTGTAGCAAAAGTAATAAACACTCAGTTGAAGTGGAATAGAGATGTCAAACTCACTTTGTGTGTTCTTTCAAAACTGGTGTGAAAAAATGGAAAGTTGTGTCTTTTCTTCCATTACCATCTAAAGGAGCATTCTAACAACTTGTTTGCACTGACCCAGCACTCACAAGCCAAAAGGAACCTCTGTTATTGACTACTGCAATTTGTCAGGATCGCTCAGCACATCTTTCAGCTGCCTCACCAATAACATTTTCTCCTTGTTCTCTTTTTTTCAGACCTATCAGAAGAAACAAAACTGTCTTTGTTGAGGAGATTATTTTCAGAAGTAGGAGCACTGGCACTTCGGTGGGATGAACATTCACTGGTAGAAAATTCTGATGCATCAGAAGCAAAATACTTGATTTCAGAAATCTTAAAAGGCTTGACTTTGCTTTACAGTATTGGCTTCTCTAGCAGGCTTTTTCCACTTTCTTTTTGATATTCAGCCCTAGAAAGCCATTTTCCATTTTCATAAATGATTGTTTCTGTCACTTTCAGTTTCAGCCACAGTGATGTACACTATCAACCCCCTGAAGATCACTAGCCACTCAAATATGTACACGGAAATAAACATGTACGCAGCTAGCTAACTTAGGACTTGTAAACAAATAAGTATGAACTGACTCATTCAAATAGAACATGCCACCCATTTGCTGCTGTCTGATATCAGGTTCTACAAAGTGGCCAATTTGTTAATTTTAACCAGAGACAATTATTGTAGACAAATCATAAAGATTTCATATTTTTAAGTTGGTCTTTGACTTCCCCTGTTGTCTTTGACTTCCCAAGCTTCTCATTAGGTTAGGCAGCCAAATACTTATCCTACCCTTAGAGCTGGATGTCAGGGTCTGACCAGTGTTTCCAGGGGGGGTAGAAGTACTCGTTTTGCCATAGGACTAGCATGCTTATAGTTCAGTCCAAACTGAACTGGAACCAGACCCTTAAGTATGAGATGGAGATTTACTACAAATAAAAATGTTCCCTAGGAACAGCCTCTTGAGTTCCACCTTGTATCAAAATGAAATAATCTGTATCTGCAGCTAGCCTCTTCATTACAGATGACTTGAAACTCTAACAGCGGGGTTAGTGGGATGTCCTTTTCCCTCAGTAGTTCTATCATTGACCTCCATTTCCCCATGCGAAATGCCCCATGATTGATGTGCAAAATGCACTTCCCTATGTGGGGTGAGCGAAACTTATGACACCCAATCTAGTCAGACTGCTTTAAAAGGGATGCTTTTTTCTTCATCCAGAATTAACCCATGGGTGTGTCTGATGTCAGCTGGTATAGCTCATAAACCACCTGGAAACAGTTTGCTGTTGAGTAAAATTCTTTAGTCTTGTCTATGCTGGGGTGAGTCCAAATTTCATCAGTAGCCACACTGACCAGGATGGCTGTGCTGAAAGCTTTGAAGAGTCCTGACTGTTATTTTCAGCAAGAGAGTGCACGTTGGTGCTTAGAGGAGGTTGGCTTGTTGTAGTAGGGGCAGTACCTGGTAGGCTGGGGGAGCTACAATCAATGCAGCTCCCATTGTGGTGGTGGTAGTGCGAATCATTTGGAAAAAGGAAGCACAGTGTCTGCAGGCTGAAGTGGCTTCTTCTCCTGGTCTTGAATTTATTTATAAAATGAAATGTCAAACCTGTTTTGAGCAGAGATCTTGATACCTATATGATAGCCCCTCAGGGGAGAAGATACAGAATCTTGTTTCTGACAGCTCAGAGCCATAAACTGAATTTTAGCAGGGCAGAAAGGCAGGCTGGGGATAACCAAGTTCTGAAGATCACAACTGAACTACCCCTGCCCCCCCCCCCCGCCCCTCCCAAGTTCGGAATCTCTTGCTAAGACATGGCACATAAGTTATTGTAGGCCAGTGAATAGGCACCATCACTGCTGTCTGCTCTGGAGAACAACAAACAAACGGAGTAAGTTCTAGTGTCTCTGACCAGCTCTGTAACTTTTGTGCCACTCTGGTAGTAAAAAGATATAGAATGTGACCTCATCTTCCCTCATGGGGAGGAGGAGCTCCCCAGGCTTGGAGGAGCCTCCAGTGGGCTAGCACAGCCAGCCCAGCATCACCTCACAGGTCCTGGGGCAGAAAGGAAAACAAATGGTATGGCTAAGGTGGACTGTTATCCAGCAGATGGTCGAATGAGGACCATTACCAGCTGCTTTTGGTTAGAAAGTTGTATCAACCTCTAAATCTATTCCAGGGCTGGTTCCATAATCACAGAGCATAACCTGCTCGTTGCTGACTTCTCTGTCTCTCCCCAGTCTTCCAAACACTGAGCAGAAACTCAGTGTAGCAGAGAATGTAGCCCTGAGTTATTTACTTATTCCAAGGAGCAGGAGGATGAACTGGGTGGAACATAGGGCTAAACAGGAGCCCAGCACTAGAGAAATGGAAGGACTGAATTGTCATGTACCTGAAGAGAATCTGATGCCTGTGGAAGATGGTTTGAGCTGGTTGAGTTTCACCCCTAAACCATATTCAAGAAGCTGATACTCACAACTGGAGAAAACCAGGGGGCAGGAGTGAGTGTCCATTGGAAAATTCTGCAGCTGGAGAAGACATTCAGCCTCTATAGTCAGCCTGGAAAAGAGAGAAAGACTTATCATTAATGCAGAGGATTTTGACTTCAAACACAGATGTATAATAGCTACATGTTCTGAAGAAGCAAATTGTCCTTAAAACATGCTAATTCAATGCAACAAAAACTGTTTGCGGGAAAGGGCCCATTTCAGCACTCATTTGAAAATGCATTTAAAAAGTCTCAGAATGGTTAAAACGTGTAATTTGATATATTCAAGATAAACATTTCCAATTTTCTGGCTCAGCATTTATTTTATTCAGATACATAAATGTTGTAATAAAAACACCCCAAGTCAATTCAAAATTTTGTGAAATGATTGGTGAATAGTTTGATGGACCTAAACCATTAAAAAATTATTGGCTTGGAACTTTTTTGAGATTCTGATCTTTTGTCCTGATTCAAGATGAGAAGATTTTTTTGATTTTTTTAGAATTTTTCATAGTACTTGAAGTCACTCGTGGATCCAGGAAGGGGGAAGGGAAGGGCAACACCCCACTTTGGTTGTGCAGTGCATGCAGTGAGCTCTGGGCTCACTACTTGGTCAGCAGGGGCTTGTGCCAGAGCTGTGCATCAGTGAGCTCTGAGCTCACCAGCTGATTGGGGCTGAGCCCGACCAGAGCACCTACTTTCACATGGTTCCAGAGCCAGGCTTAATGCTCCTGCTTTTTGCCTTTTCCCTCCCTCCCCCTTTCACTGAAGTCAGCAGCAAAGGAAAGGAGACAGCACCTACCCCTTAGTCCAGAACTGTAAAAAAACAGGGGCTCTTGCCAGACCCTGCACCAGAAGCTCACATGCAGCACAGCTTAAGGGGCTGGGCTACTACAACCCCTCTGGATCCACCCTTGCTTAAAACACATTTCCCATTTGGTTCTACTGTGTAACTGTGGGAGCTTTCTCATCAAGATGCCACAGCATCACTTCTGCTGTTGGCAGGACAGCAGCTGGGAACCTCCCATCCCATGACTCAAATTATCATCTCTTTTTTTTTTTTTAACAGTGCAGCCACACAGGCCTGGTGTCATAGGTTCCTTTGAGTCAGCTGCTGAGCCCCAGAAGTACCTGAGTGTGTAGAGCACTTTGCCATCATTCCAGATCCTGAGCAGCTGATTGGGTGTGGTTATCCAGTGAGAGTCAGCTCGCTTGGAGTTCCTGAAAAACGTGTCTGGGATCCAGATGCGGCTCACCATGTTGGTATTCAGAGTGAGGGCTTTGAGGGTGCTGTTAAAGCGAAGGCGCCGGTCATACCACGTCTGAGCAAAGAAGATATCAATGGTGTATTCCTGTAAGAGAGACAGGACAGCGTGCCCTGTTAAAATGAATTAGATTAATCCCATCATAGGCATGCAGTGTTGCCTTTGATCTGTATGCTGTCCCATCACTGTGGCTCTAATGAGCTAAGGAGATGCTTAGTTTAGTTCTTGGCCTTTCTCTGGAGATTGTCAAGCAAAGTGCTAGCTAGTGCCAGACAGCAAGGTACATACTTATTATGTGGACCCTTTTCCAGTAGGAACTGGATCAAGACCTTCAAACCCATTTCACACCAGCCTGTAAGACTGGAAAGGCTTTTGGCCACTGAAGACAGTTCCTTTCTGATTCTGCTATTGCTCCACTCCAGTACAATCTTAAACCCATGCAGGGTCTCTCTCTGGTGATTCATCTCAGTGGAATTTTTATGCTTGCATTGTTTCCTCCCCTCTGTTTCCCCAGCTGCTGGCTTGCAGTTGGCTTCCTGAAAAACATCATTACAATGGACATTCAGTGCAGGGGAGTTCCCTTGAAAAGTGTGCTCTTTTAGGGGCAGGGGAGGGCAGTGCTGGATAGGTTGCTTCATTTTCCTCTGAAGTGGAGCCTATGCTGTCAGCTAACCAGTGATGAATGATGTTATAGAGGTGGACATGCCCCTTCTAAGAGTGCAAGATTGTGTAAAAAAATGCACTGGCAGAATTATTAAGTGTGACAAATACCTCTGTCCTGGCCACACACAGATGAGCTGAGGTGAGGGCAGTAAAGTAATCACCTAGGTTGCACTTAGGCTCAGTGTTATAGGTTGGCTTAAACCTCACTGAAACTTTGGGTGAGAAACTCACAATTCACTTGCGGTGGCCATGAGAAGGCACTGATTTCTCCAACTTCAAAACCCAGGTACTGATGCTGCCCAAAACAGAGGAATACAACAGTCCACTCAGGAATTTTTATGATCTGGTGGCTTTGGTTGGCTATTACCATATCCTGGCAGAGGAGAATTGTGTCTGGTTGGATGACAGGGAGGTAAGATTGAGAATCAGGGAGACAGAGCTCACAGACAGACAGGGAAGAAAGCTTCAGCACAGCCTGAACAAGCTTGGTCATGAGACCTTGCGGAAAGCACTTGAGTGATTTGATTCTTCCAATGCAAGGGGATGGTGTGGGGAGCAGAACTTTGTACTTTTTGGTAAACACACGGAGGAAGCATCCCTAACATACCCACCTCCACCTCCAATTTCTCCTCCTAATGGTAACAATCAACAAGACCAAAACTGGCCTCACGGCTTGGGTCTAAAGGTGTTAAATACAGTTCAAGGACCAGGTTTGGGATCAAACAGTATATGTTGCTAGATATTCTGAAAAGTTCAAAGGCAGATTTTCAAGTGGCCAAGGTCCACCTGCTCACATCATGGCCTGTATAACCAAAAGTTCAGGAAAGCAGACTGCATACAGGCCTGAATGCTTTTCAGAATCTGGCCTCCTGTTGTCAGCATGGAGGTTTCCTAAGGGCTCCATAATTTAATCTGCTTTTAGCTGACACTTTGAGCAAACCTGGGTAGCTTATTTCCAGGGAAGAATGGATCAGATGAGCTTGGTCCCTCTGCCTCTTGCTGAGCAATCCATGGGGAGATGTTCATATTTTACAAATGTATCTATTGTTCAAAATGACCTGAGGCAAGTGCATTCTAGCCCATGGGGACCTCACCAGTGACTCCTTGTGACTCTTGCTATTCATAATTTGCTGTTTGCTCTGTGCGATTGGTCATTTAAACCATGCTGTTTAGAAGCAGCTAGGCATGTTTACCTACCAAATTTACCTACCAAATTCCCTGCCACTGCTGGTGGACCTAGGGGCCCAAGATCCACAGACAGGATCCATAGTCTCTTTTGCTCTCTTCCTGGGGCATATCGTTGTTTTGGGGTTCTTTGACTTTTAATAGCCTAAGTTTGTTATCAGCTGTTAGGGGGTGCTGTGTGACTTGCAGTATGTGTATTCAGGGGGACACAGACTAGTTGTTCTTGTATCCTTTTTGACTGACTGGCTGTTGCTTGGTTGTCTGTGATAACTGGGAAATGTACTTAGAGTCCAGGTGGTCCTTCTAGTAATGGGTTCCTGTATTATACATCTTCACTGGGTGAATTTCAGTTTCCCCAAGGAATTGCTCAGAGAAAATCTTGTAAACTCTAAGATTACATAGGTGAATACATAGTCATACAAAGTACACTCAACCCTTTCTTTTCATGCAAACAGAATTTGATGCATACATGTGCGCTAGGGCTGTGCAAAATTTCACTGGCTGTTTCATTTTGACGCTGTTTCAACTAGTTTTGAGCTCAAAACAGTGAAATCTAAATGAAACTAAGGGCTTTGAAACAGCCTTGAAACAAAACGAGGGCAGTCAAAACATTTTGAAACTTTTGAAATGTTTTGTGTTTTGCTGGGCTTGTCTGCAGGGAAGACTCTGATCCTTCCCTGAGGTCCCGTCCAATCCCAGTGCTCTGGGGGAGGGATGGAAAAATAGCATAAAAAGCAGCATTGTTTGAACTGGCCTGCTTTCTGCCTTGGGGTCAGTTACTGAGCTGTATCTTCCAGCAGCTCAGCAGTGTTAGACAACAAAGGCTACTACCATTGACTTCCTACTTGCTAGCCTAGCAAGTGGGATTCCTCAATACCTTTTGATTTCTTTCTATACCCTTTTATTGTATTATTACATTTATTGATTTTTTTTTCAATGTCATAATTATATTGCATGTTATAGAATTTATTTAGGAAAACAGATATATTCATTTATATATTTTTATTTTGTGTATTATTTTGCATATTATAATCTAGAATTTATATAGGAAAACACATGTATACATTTACGTATTTTTATAAAGACAAGACAGTATGAAACACACCATGAAGTGTGCTGGACAGGCAGCTGGCAAGCCTTCGGGGAGGGGTGGAAGAGGAGATAGAGGGAGAGCTGTAAGTTCTACCCCCTCCCCCAAACTGAGACTCAGCCTCTGTGCTACAACAAGCAGGCATGAGGCTTCCACTAGTTCTACAAGCAGCAAGGAAAGGGGAGCAGTGCCAGTACCAGTGCCACTGCCTGTGACTGAGTCTGCATCCCTTGCAAGAGCACCAGTCATAACTGCCCCCACCACCACCATGACAACAAGCAGCAGCACCAGAATAACAGTGTCTTCCACCCCCACTTCATTTCCCATCCTGAGCCTTCCAGTGACAGAAGAAGAGCTGGATCTAGATCTGAGTGCCCTAGCAAGGGAAATTCTGGGGAAGGAAAGGGAATCATCTGAGTCTGTACTCCACACTCCTCAAGCTTCCCCTAGAGCCTGGTCTCCTTCCCCAGAAAGCACTTCAGAGGAGGCTGAGATACAGATTGTGGAGGCAAGTGGCTCAGCTGAGTCCATTCCTCCTGTTGCTGTGCCGCTCCCTGCTGAAGAGGGGGAAATGGCAGTATCCACACATGCACCGGATCCCAGAAGTGAGCGAGTAGTGTGTTCTGGAATCATTTTGAGCTGGCAGATGATCCCACATATGCTATCTGCCTGCACTGGTGAGCCAAAACCAGCTGGGGCAAGGGAACAAAACATATGAGTACCATGGAGGTTCTGCTGCATCTCTGCAGGTACCACTCCCTTGCCCTTGCTCCTACTCAGCCTGGCACCAGCAGAAGCATGCCCAAAGGGAAGTTCCCCTCTTGCTTCAAAGCCCCCATCCCCCCAAAGCAGAGGCAGGCCACCCTGGAACAGTGGGAGAAAGGTGGACAGAAAGGGGGCTTGTTGCAAGGGCGAGTGAGATCACTCAGAACTCTGGGGAGAGGCTTGCTGTGGATGGCCAGCCTTTCTCCTTAGTTGAGCAGCCAGGGTTCAGGCAGCTCATGGTGCTTGTGGCCTTATCATATCAAGTGTCCATATGCACCATCTTCAGCAGGGTGATGGTGCTCTCCCTGTATGAGGCATGCAGGGAATACTTGAGGGAGGAGCTACACAAGCCAGGTCCGCAGGTAGCCTTACACTTCACCTTGGACATCTGAAGCAGCCGGGGTAGCGATCATCTTTAAGGAAGAATTTCTTTACTGTCCGAGCCCCCAAGGTCTGGAACAGCCTGCCACCGGAGGTGGTTCAAGCGCCTACATTGAACACCTTCAAGAGCAAACTGGATGCTTATCTTGCTGGGATCCTATGACCCCAGCTGATTTCCTGCCCTTTGGGCAGGGGGCTGGACTTGATGATCTTCTGAGGTCCCTTCCAGCCCTAATGTCTATGAAATCTATGAAATACATAGCTCTCCCTCACACGGCACTGGTGCAACCAGTCAGGCATTGGTGGGCTCTCCTTCAAGGCAAGGTGATGGATGAGTCCCACACAGCAACCAAGATCATGGGGCCATGAATCGCTTGGTGCAGGGGTGGCTCATTGGGCAGGGTGATCTCACCCGCGGATTCATGGTCACCGACAATGGGGTCAATATGGTCAAGGTGGTCTGTGATGCCAACTTTGTTGGCATCCACTGTTTGGCACACAAGTTCCACCTCATAGTCATGGGCAGGGGAGGTGGGGGCAGGGCTCCTGGTGATGGTGCCAGGAGAACCAGCAAGCTCATTTCCAAATGCAGGAAGATGGCAGGCTACCATCTCCCAGATCTTGGTGGTCCTCAAGCCCTTCCTCGTGGCCACCAAGACCCTCTGTCCTTTGTCAGGCTGAGGAAGCACCTGCAGTTGGTGTGTGTGTGTGCTGTTCCTCGATGGAAGGAATAGTAAAGAAGTCAGAGGATGGCACAGCCCTAATGTACACCTGCATGTGGAAAGCCCAGGGATGCTCTCAAACCATAGTTTCATGTTTTATTTGAAAAATTGCTTGCAGATACATTTTTGGCTGCCTCGGCTTAGCTCTCATTGGAAGCGGGAATAAATTGGTAGGGCACGCTTCAGGGCAGGTGTCACAGGCAGTGCCAAGGATGTTTTATCCATCTGAAATTTGGGACAAGACTTCCCCAATGCCTGTTTCCCCACCTGGAAAATTTATT